GTGTTGGGCATCTTATCTAAGAGACAACATGAAGTCCAGCATTGCAAAGATTTATCCCCATGTTTTAAGAGTTTTCTTTCTTACGTTTAGTTCTGTGATCCATTTGGCATTCATTTTGGCGCATGGTTCAACTTCACTGTTTCCCTCATGGCTCTTCAGTTGTGCCAGCACCTCTTGCTGAAGAAATACTGCTTCCCTGTTGAGTGGTCACAGAACACTTGGGGAGACCCGTCTGTCACAGATGGATGAGTTTCTCTTTGGACTCTCAGTTCTGTTCCGCTGACCTCTAGGTGCGTACTTAGGCCAGTACGACAAAACTGTCTTTTTTTTAACACCTTAATTTCAGTTTGAATTTTCTTTTTTACTGACAGCTAGCAACCATATGTGTTTATGGGGAACAGCGTGATGATTCCATACGTGTATCCATGGTGCAGTGAGCAACTCAGGCAAATTAACATGGTCATGCCACCTCCTACTTACTTCTTTGTGGTAAGAACACTAGAAGTCCACTCTTTTAGCAATTCTGAAATCACGTTAGTATTAACTATCATCATTTTGCTATGGAATAGAACGCCACACCTTATTCCTCCCCTCTAAGTGAAACTTTATACCCATAGGTCAATATTGCCTTTTCCTTTGTTCACCAGCCCCCACCCCCAAACCCTGCCCCCCCTGACTCTGGTAACCATTGAACTCTGTTTTCTTGAATCTGACCCTTTTAGATTCTATGTGTAGGTGAGATCATGCAACGTTCGTCTTTCTGTGCCTAGCTGATGTCAGTTAACATGATGTCCGTAGATGCATCCAAGTTGTTGGAATTGACGGAATTTTTGTTCTTTTNTTTATTACCCCCTCACAAGGAATTCCTTTGGGGGCTCACGACAAGCCCTGAGAAAGGGCCCACTTAAGCCCTGTGAAGGGAGAAATGCCAGGGAGTGAAGGAAACAGTGGGGGCTAGTAACTGATTGCCATCTCAAGGAGAGCTCTGTCTGTTCAGAGACCCTCTGGGAGTGGGCTGGACCTGAATCAGTTAAAACACTCTGAGATAAGTCATTTCTGAAAATGAATCAGAAAATAGATGACTTTTTTACAGCATGTAGGTTATTTCTATATCTTGGTTCTTGTGCATAACACTGTAGTGAACACGGGAGTGAAAACATCTCTTGCATGTATGAAGTTTAACTCCTTAGACTCTGTATCCCAGAAGTAGGATCATTGTATCCCATGGGAATTCTAGTTTTAATGTTTCAAAGGACCTCTGGGCCGTATTCCCCGATGGCTGTACTCATTTATGTTCCCACCAGCGGTGGACAAGGATTCCCTTTTCTCCACATCCTCACCAGCACTTGCTTCATTTCATCTTTTTGATAATACACATTCTGACAGGTGTGAGGTGTCAACTCCTGGTGGTTTCCATACGCTTTCCTGGTGAGTGATGTTGAGTTGTTTTTCTGTGCACTGGTTGGACGTTCGTATGTCTCCTTTTGAGAACCATGCTGCTATAGTGGGAATGTGTCTCTTCCAAAATTCAGGTGTTGAAACTTAGAGGCTCATGGGATAGCGTTAAGGTGTGGGGCCTTTCTGAAGCGTTTCTGTCTTGTTAGGCTGGCTCTTTCCTAGATAAAGCAGGCTAATGTTGAGGCTTTTGTTGTCTGTGCCCGTCGGCATTTCTGGGTTGCTGGCTTCTTCATCTCCATGTCTGAGATAGAGGAGGCAAAAAGAATACCTGGAGGACTTGCTGCCGTGTGCTTCTTCAGTCCCGAGGTCCCTAGGAGTCTTCGTTTTTCTCTCCACCTTTCAGAGACATCTTATTTTTGTTTTAGATGTCATGTCTAGACTTTTTACGTGTCCTGAATGGAAGGAATAGAGTAAAATACATCTGCTCTATCTTCCCAGAAGCAGAAGTCTGTTCTTTTTTTAATATCTTCATTTTCTTAACTTTTTTTTTTGAACAGACTTTTAAAAGTTTCACAGGCATGCCTGTGTTCTATATTAATATCCTTTACTTTTGTCGTTGATAACTTCTTAGGAGGTGAGACGATTACAGCATAGGATTTACCTTCTGTTTTTGTAGATTCTTTTTTTTTAATGGTAAGCTCTTTGACCTTCTTGGAATTTTCCTTGGAAAGAAAGATATTTTATTTGAACACAAGGCTCTTTTGACAGCAGAATCATTTTACGCTATGGTAGGGGTGGGATTGATCAGCACTTAGCAGTTTGTCGCTGTGCAGTGGGAAGACTAGCCAGTGTTGGAGAGCCAGATTTTAAACCCCTCTCTAGACTTTAGCCTTTCCCCTGGAATGTGTCTAGTTCAAATATACCCTCGGGGTCACCCAATGAAAGGTAGATATTTAGCGTGGGAAAGGAGCTGCTCTGTATAGAAATAGCACATATTATAGCAGAGAAACTGCAGAGGGTAATCTAAAGTGTCATAAAGGCACAGGTAGAAAGGGGTAATGTTGCTCACATGGGGAACTTCACCCTGTTGGAATGGTGGGCAGTTGGGGTGGGATGGGGCTTCTTTCATTGTGTGTGTTTAATATTGGTGATGTCTTGCTGGGAATGCACTGAGTCAATTTTACGTTCTAAATACGAGTGCACATAAACTTTTGGCCCGTGTATGCACTTTGTTATGAAAGGCATGTTCCTAGCTGTTTACCCTTACAGCAACAAAGAACTAAAATTTAGATCTATCTTTGCTATTCAGGGACTGGCACATCTTCACATTCATCATGTGATTCACCAGGATATCAAGGTCCAGAATGTACTGCTGACTGAGAATGCAGAGGCGAAACTTGGTATGTGACAGACTTGCAGCATGATCTCATACTTGCCCTGGCGGAGACCGGGCACCAATGTTTTCTGTCTCTGCTCCACGCAGGAATGTGGAACTGGGCTAATTGCTTAGCTTGGCTCCAACTTCCCTTTCTCCCGTGCTTCTGCCTGTTGCTCTGTTCTCTATATAGCTGCCAGACTGATTTTAAAAATCAGACCATGTCACTTTCCTGCTTAACAACCTTTAGTGGCTTTTTATTTTACTTTGGGTAAAATCCACAGTTCTTACCGTGATCCCACGTAGGATCTGGCCCCTGT